TTCGGCCTCCGGATGCTCTTCGGAGATCTACGAGGTCTAGGAGAATTCCTCAATGACTACATACTCGGCGAAGAAACCATAGAGGGGGAGAATGACATATAATCTCCTTTGTGCTTCCTAAATTATCAGTATGTGTTGTCTGTGATCGTTGAAGTGTATCTGTCATACAAATATTTTTAAATCTATCTATTGTACGTGTGCTCGTTTCTAGTTAATTAAAGCCAAGTTTCTATTGGTATTTCGTTTCCATGTATCACCAGTACTTACTACACAAAAAAAGTACTTACAACACACCGGAATAAGCTTATTCCAACGGCATGGAAAGTAAAACACCTTAATAACTTCAAAACGGCGTAACAACTAAATTTAGTTTTTTACGAGTAGAACCGACTAAATCACGACTATTTTTAGTGTAATCAGATCTGAGCTAGGTGTTGTGATTGTAGAGATTGAGAAATTGTGCGGCTGGAATAAGCTTATTCCAGTGGACAGCAAAACACCCTTATAAGATTTGAGCGGTGGATCGACTAAATCCAGTTTTTTGCAACTAGAATCGACACTAAAAGTAGTCCGAAGTTAGGTGCTGTGCGCAGAGATGGGCAAGCGTCCAGATTTTATAACCCGGAAGCTTAAAACAACGATTTAAAATTGAAATCCGGCGCCCGGGTTTTAACCCACTGCCCATCTCTGGCTATGCGTCTGGTTGGAGTTAAGCGTCTATGGAACAAGCGGCGTAAAAAAATAAATCTTTACTAAATGTTTCATATTCGCCAAAAGTTTTCATTTCTTCCATAAATTTAAAACCCAAATATCGGTAGGTCGCATGGTCCATAAATGACAAATTTTCCGTGTTCGTTTTTTGAAAGTAATGCAAACATTTTCATTCACTCCTACAGACTCCTACTTTAGAAGGGATGTTGGGGGGCCGGATTAAAGACCTTCGTCGGCTGAAGTTGGCCCGTGGGCTGTACTTAACACAACACTGATCTAGACTACACAACTGATAACCTACTCCAGCCTGAAGGCGCAGTCACAAGAATTATCTAGCATTCTCGCGAATTCGCGAGCCTTCCTGACGCTTCCGTTCCACAGCAAATTGAGCCTAATAGTGTTTTACTGTGGACGCGGAGATATTTATTACTTAGTAAATTCGGATTAGTTCGTCAGCGACCGTACACAACTCGACTAGCTGGTCTCGGATTAAAAGATGATTGAAATGAAAGAGATTGAGATCCACTCAAGAATAGATACTTGTTAACAGCACACCAATTAACGTTTCGTTTATTTCCTTGTAATGAATACTTATGATTATTAGTAGTGATTAGTAGTAGTAGTAGATTATTAGTATGAGGGCCCCTTAAAATTAGACGCTTGTAGAAGCGCTTCAGGGTCGTGTCTACTAATTTTCATACGAGCTATGTCGGTTACCTTAGTTCTACGGATTTCCTCATTTCTGATTCTATCACGTAGGGAAATACCGAGCATCGCTCTCTCCATTGCCCGCTGAGTGACCTTGAGCCTTCTTATGAGGCCCATAGTGAGGGACCTGTGAGTGAGGGTTTCTGATCCATAGTGATCACTGGCAACACACAATGGTCAAAGACTTTCGTCTTGAAACATTGAGGTAATTTGGACGCAAAGATTTTTTGTAGTTTCCCGAACGCTACCCATCCAAGCTGGATTCGACGAGAGATCTCCTTCTCAAAGTTGGACTTACCTAACTGGACTGTCTGCCCCAGGTATACGTAATGGTCAACAACTTCGAGTGCTGTAATGCTCCCAATTTTAACTGGAGCGGGTACAACATGGATATTCGACATGATCTTCGTCTTGTCCATGTTCGTCTTAAGACCCACTCTTTGGAAAACACTACTGAGATCTTCGAACATTGTGTTCAGGTCTCCCAAGGTCTCAGCCATAAGAACTATATCATCGGCAAATCGAAGGTGTGTTAGGTACTCGCCATTGATGTTGATACCAAGTTCTTTCCAGTCCAGAAGCTTAAAAATATCCTCCAACGCAGCAGTGAACAGTTTCGGAGATATCACATCTCCCTGTCTCACGCCTCGTTGCAGTTGGATAGGATTAGAGCTCTGATCCTGTAATCGGACTGACATAGTGGCGTTTTTGTATAAGTACCTTAACACCTCTGTATACCTATAGTCTATTTGGCACCTTTGGAGAGACTGCAGCACCGCTCAGGTCTCGTTCGAATCAAAGGCCTTCTCATAGTCCACAAAGGCTAAGCAAAGCGGCCGGTTATACTCCTCGGTCTTCTGTATAACTTGCCGCACCCTATGGATGTGGTCTATGGTACTAAAACCCTTTCGGAATCCGGGTTGTTCGGGAGGTTGGAAGTCGTCAAACCTGCGAGGGAGACGATTCGTGACAACTCTCGAAAACAACTTATAGATATGGCTCAGAAGCGAGATTGGCTGATAGTTCTTCAAGAGTGTTTTATCACTTTTCTTTTTGAAGAACAGAACGACCTCGTCTCTGCCCCATGCCTTCGGCGTTAGACCTTCGACGATAACAGAATTGAAAAGCTGCTAGAGGACTTTAAGTATCGGCTTGCCGCCCGCTCTCAGAAGTTCTGTAGTGATTCCATCATCGCCCGCCGCTTTGTTGTTCTTGAGTTGTTTGAGAGCCACACTAATCTCATACAGGTTGACGTCCGGGATATCTTCGGTATAATGTCGGGTAAGCTTGGCTCTGGGGTCTTTAACCTCGCTTTCAACAGGTGCTTTCGTGGAGTATAGCTGTCGACAGAAACTCTCTATCTCCCTCAGGATTTCAGGCTTAGATGAAATGATGCTACCGTCATCAGTCTTTAGCTTCGTCAGTTGGCTTTGCCCAATACACAGATCTCTCACGAACACCTTGGAGCCTTTGTTCCGCTCAATGGCCTCTTTAATACGCTCCGTATTAAATTGGCGTATGTCGCTAGTCGAAGACTTCGATATCTGCCTATCTAGCCGCCTGTAGTGACTTGCATCCTCTGAGTTCTGTAGCGTCATTTCATTTCTATGTTCCATGAGTTGAAGTGTTTTGTCGGAGAGTTTCTTTATTCTGGTACGGTGCGTTTTGAAAAACTTGGTCCCAACCGTACGGACAGTATACACCACCATGTTGTTTAGATCGTCCACATCTATGCAGTTTTCAAGGGCTTCGAAGCGGTTTTGAAGTTCGAGCTGAAAGCTCGAAGCTCGAACCTCGAGCTGAAAGCTCGGGGTTTTGGAGTTGTGCAGGTATTGGTCGGAGCGTAGACTCTATCAGTCGAGTTCTTTCCAGCCGGATATTGATATTCAATGTGACTCGTACATTGAATTGATACAGTGTGACATGATAAAGTCAATCTCATTTTTTACTTTACCATCCGGACTCATCCAGGTCCACTTTCGAGTTGGAGACTTCCTGAAAAAGGTGTTCATCATATAGAGGTTCTCCTTTTCCATGAAATCAACCAACATCCGGCCTCTGGCGTTCTATTGTCCAACTCCAAATTGCCCCACTCTCAGCTCATCACCACAACGCTTTCCCAACTTTGCATTGAAGTCCCCCATCACAACCGTGTAGTGGGTTTGGTAGCTATGCATGGCTTTTGAGATCTCCTCATACATAGTGTCCACTTCGTTATCTGGGTGTGTCGAGGTCGGAGCATAAACCTGAATGACATTCAACAAATATCGTTTTGATAATCTGAGTATCAGGTATGCCACCCTGGTCGACACACTTCCGATGGTAATCACGTTGGTAACAAGGGACTTGTAGACAATACACCCAACACCGCCAAGGGACTGTTGGTCGCCCTCCCGGTAGTACAGTAAGTTGCCGGAATTAAGGATTATCGAGTCCTCCCCCTCTCTTCGGACTTCAGATAGCCCAATGATATCCCAGCGTAACTTACTAATAGCTTCTTCCAATTCTGTGAGCTTTGCGTCGGTCCTCAATGTGCGCGTGTTGTAGGTTGCCAGGTCCAGTCGTCGTCGTTGATGGTAGGCGGGTCTCCCCCGGGGATTCTTCGCACCCAATGCCCTGTTTCCAAAGCCGCTACCGTGACTAGGAAGAGCAGGACTGCCGGGGACTAGGGGCCAATTCTTTGGTGTGTGTACCATAGGGGGATTGTGCCATAATCGCCACGCTTGGCAGGCGGGTTGGCGATCGCAGTTCTGGCCAAGATGGGTAGAAGACGCTGCTGCCCGTCTTCTTCTGACAATTTTCCTTAGTCGCCTTTTACGACACCCACAGAATGAGAAGGGACACAAAGAAGTGCCTATTTTTAAATCTAATCAAGTGCTGTTATCGACATCGAATAATGGTGTGTTAGGTATAACATTATCCCTGAGTGAATAGTAAAACGCAAGAGCATTACAAGAGTAATCGTAAAACATTATGCAACTATTTATTTCTTAAATAGTTTAGTTTAGTTAGAAATTATTACCTAAAGAGCATAACGACTGTATTGATGAATACAGTCGTTTTAATAGTCACAAGTTCATTAATGGGGCAATTTATACGCTCTATAATAAAAGTCCAGTTGATATTCAAAATTTGCCATTTAAAAAACTTTACACTATCATACAGCTTTCTTGGATGACAAAAATCCATGGTAATGACTCTTTTAGCTCTTGCAGGGTATCTTGATCTGTCATTTTGAAATAAATGTTGTAATCATATCGTAAATGATAAATGTGTCTATCTGTACACAAGTGTTTATTAATAAAGTGCAAAAGCAACCCCTAGAGTTTCCTACTGATTCTTCTCAGGGAAATCTGTCTTAGGAATGAGTAGAGTTTAATCTATGTGACGATTTGAGGTGTAAATTTGCTTACTCGATTTCGTAGAAATAAAGATTGAATATTTGAAACTCGAACACACTAAAATTCTTGAGAAGGTAGCACAATGTTCGCGTAAAAAGTCTGTCTAAATGTCTGTACCTATTTAGTTTTCCTTTAGGAAACTTGTATCTACTCCAAGGTTTGGTTTATGTACATTTTTACCTTTCATCGAATGCTCTTTTGCACATATCGACGTAGAATTCCACATTGAGCCAATTCAAATGATCGAAGACGGTGCCGGTATTAGGAGCTGTTTGGTAGTAGCCGTATTCTGTGCAAGTTTGGTAGTACCACGCACGACCTGAAAATGTAATGGTTTCTGTCAAAAGTGGTCTAGGTTTGGAAAAAGTGGTATGTGTCGAAAATTTATAGCTGACCCTTCCAAGTGTAAAGTACATGAATAATATATACAATTTACATTGACCTACCAACAATTTAATATAAATTACGCAACACTTAATTTTAGTGATTTTATAATGAACCTTTCAAAGGTACCATTATTTTGTAATAACTTAACTATTTATATTATTTAAATGCGTCTTATGATATTTCTTTTGATCAGATCAGTGAAGTGTCCTAGTTAAACATTAAAAATAACTTGGAAACCTACTATTAGAACGCGGAACCATGTAATTGTTGACATACGTCTCGTAGTTTATCATCCAGCAAGCGGGTCCTAAATTTCTAACCGCGGCAATGTAACCACCGATTTTTTGCATTGGCGTTTCACCTGAAAAAAAAAAGTACACGAAGTCAGAAAGAACACTCGCGTGGTGTATGTAGGAGGCAGATTTGTTGACTGGTAATGGCAGCAGCCATTAATTTAGCAAGGGGAAACCAGCTTGTAAGCCAAAAATGGATACAGACACCCGTTTCATCTTTTAGCTTAGAAATTGCATTAAAAATGTCACCCGAAGTTGATACCTACAGCTCAGTATCTAAGTGAACAAGACGTTAAGATTGTTTAAAATGCGTTCGTAGAGTAGGTCCTAGAGTAAAAAAGGGCTGAGGAGCGAACCCAGGGCTCAAATTACATTGCGGCGGTACGGAATGGAAGCGAATTTAAGAAGAGTTATTAACAACAACTTTCTTGTTGAGTCGAAGTAGCCTGCTTGACAGTTTTCTATCGGATACATTTCGGGGAGTGTGTACAGGAACTCTTCAATTTAGCTCCACCCCCACCGTTCCTCTTTCAGTCGATTAGAAGGTCCGGAACACTCCATCCTTATGTCGCTGATATACCACCCATTCGCACTAAGTGCTTTGCTTCCTCCTTTCTGATGCGTACGGCAAAAAAATGGAATACTCTACCGATATGCGTTTCCCGAAAAGTACAATTTGGGGCTATTAAGAGTGAATAGCCATTTTTTAGTCAAACGCGTACCATCGTCGGTCACATCGTCGCTTAACGTCAGGTGAAATTGTGGCTAAGCGTGTGTCTATTACATATATAAAAAGGAATTTTTATAACGATATTATACAGCACATCAAGCTATACATTTTATTCGAATATCGCTTCCACTGTAACGGAGCAAGATCCGTCAATGTGTAGTTTGATGTGCTGCCGTCTGTATAAAGCATAATGAACTTTATATTCAATTGCGTAACGTGCAAACTAGATACGAGTCAAAAAACAGGTGGCTCGTCTTCCGTATAGCTGCCGTCGTCGGCGGTGGCTGGCAAATCCGCATCGATGTCAAGCGTCTTCGAAATAGGTTGTGCACGTACCGTGACAGCAAAAAACATGAATTTTAGATAAAGAGTTAATCTATTTGGTACTAAGATATAATCATTGGTGCATTATAAAAGCTTAAAACTTTACCGACAAAAATTATAAGAATAATGCAAGGGGAAAAGTCATTGAATATAAAATAGGTGTTTATATTCGTTATAGTTTTCGAAAAAACAATAACTTTTCGACAAATCATGAACCAAAATATATTATCTATATATCTTTTAAAGATCTACACTGAGCAACTGAACACCTACTACAGCATCAAGGCGCAGTTACGAGAACCCACGGGAACGATCGAGCATGCGCGCGCCTTCTTGCGCAGCGAGGCGAATTTTACTTCTGTTAATTCCGTATCCACAGGGGGACTTGTGGTACTTGTGGGACTATGTGGTACTTAAACTAGGATATGAAGTGTGATACATCACACGCACGTATTCACACATCAAGGTACACAAGTTTTCACAACACAAGGCTCAATTCACATTACAGCGGAACGGAGTGGAAACGAATTTTTATGTATAACGATGTTGTACGGGCGACGGCACATCAGACTACACATTTTTGTTCGAAAATCGCCTCCAGTGCAACGGAACAAGATACGTCAATGTGTAGCTTGATGTGCTCGCGTGTACATGGCATAATGAACTTTATGGTCAATTGTGTAACGTGCTTTAGATACGAGCCAAAACACATCTTCCGGAGAATTCCCGCTCATGTGTGAGAATTCCGCAGCAGCCGTCGACGACGTATGTCAAATCCGCGGGAAGTGGTGCGAGGGCAGGCGCAGTGAGAGTGAGACATTAAGCGTCTTCGAAATAGGTTGTGTACATACCGTAACAGAAACAAAGATGTATTTATAAAATGTTGATGTATTTGGCGCAAAAAATAAGATTGTTTGAATGCTTACATTTTACAAGAAACTTTAGCGATAAAAAATGTAAGAATAATGCACGGAGAAAAGGCATAAACGTAGATGGATAGATCTTTACAAAATCTTGAATATTATCCAAAAAGATTTCCACGATTCATAAACCCAAATATCTTTTATCATTTTCTTATTTTATTTTTCTTCTATGAAAACAATATCCAAGTCCATCATCTTTGTCGTGTAAAATATCTAGACTAAACAATTGAACATCAACGACATTTCTGAACATCTACTACATGCTCTAGACGCAGTCACGGGAATTCTCGCGAATGTTCTAGCATTCATCGGAATGATTGACTTTCGCTTCCGGTCCGCCGCAATATAAATTGAGTCTAAAAGGTAATATATTTCATAAAGAATTTTGACTGTTTGTGTATCTCTATTTATGGCGGGCCGTACTTACCATAGATATTAGTGGCAAAGTTATTACATATATTTAATAGCGTTCCAGGTCTCGATTGCTGCACTGATGTGGAGAACGTCCAGCTGATGAGGCCCGAGAAGTAACCCAGTGCGAACCGGTTGTCGTAATCAAGTGGAGCACATAACCTAAAAAAGTCAGTTTTTTAAAAATGTCACAGTTTATATTTGCAGGCAAACGCCATTAACAGGTGATAAACTATTTTAATTACCCTATTCATAATCGATATTAACCACTCAGGGCCACGCAGTATTTGAGTTACTTATAACTGAAATACTAATAATGACAAGGTGCACCAAGGGTTTCAGACAGCCGCAAAATTACCTGACCATTTACAGCCTTGTCCGTAGCTATCTAGAGTATGCCTGTGTTATCTGGTCACCCTGCTACTCAGTCCACTCGAATAGTATGTATCGAAAACGTTCAGGGAAGAACTCTCAGTATGCTGTCGCAGCCTCGTTGGCTATGATGAGAGGTATGACAAATTTAAAATGACCTCTTTGCTTGTTCGCCGTAAAAGACAGGACCTCGTATACTTGCATAAGATTCTTTATGGCGAGATTGACTCTTCTTACCTTTTAAGTAAAATAAATATCTCCATAAGGCATAATCCCTGAATACCTACCAAGACATTTAACCTGCGAACGTATAAGAATAACACTTCCTTTTATAATTCCTGATAATAATGTTCAAATTTAAATTCAAATAAATATATTTATTTATTCGTCAACATAGGTTACAGCAGATATATTGAAATACATGGTGATAAATAAATTTATGGTGTCCCGCTATGCTGCGCCTTCAGGCATACGGACTAAATAAGTAAATGAATATAAGGGACATAAGAATTACATACAATTTATAAAGTTCTTAGTTAATATTAGTTTGTTTGACACCACTAATTATATTCATTACGGCATCGCGATCATCATCATCAATATACAAATAAATATTATGATTGCACAAACTAAAAATATTTTGATTAAAATGATAATAAAAAATATCAAATTACTTAAAAGGACTCAAATACTCATCAATAGAGTAAAATGTTTAATTAACAGGGTATTCAAATAAATTTCTTTTAAATGTCACTATATCCTCAATGTTCCATAAGTCAGATGGTAGTTTATTATAAATTTTGGTACTTATTACAATAATTCTGTTACATATAAGATCTTTTTTTTAATAATATCAAGTGACGGGACGAACAATTCGTGCGCCTGATGGTAAGCCACACTTCTGTCCATATATATAACAGTGGTGTGCCACTCAGAGCTTTAAATCGCAAAGATCTGAGGGGCACTGCCACTGCGCCCGTCATCCTGAGACATAAGTTGACTAGTCCCATGTGTCTAACGTGTCTGTAATTTCACCAAAATCTGCCACCTACGCTGTCAAGTTTATTAATCCTACGGTCACTCTTAACATACTTAAAGAATTTTGGATTACGTCTGACGAAAACTGCGATGTTAAATACATAAAGAGATGTTAACGTTAGTAATCTATGTTTCTTAAAAAAATACCTACAGCTGTCTGTTCGTTTTAAACCACACATTGCTCAAATATTATTTTTGCGCTAGGAAAACACTCTCTTCACATTTAATGCATTACCCCAGAAAATTATTCCATAACACAATATTGAAGTTATGAAACCGTTACATGCTGTTGGGACTACCTCAAGACTTGCTTTCTTTCTTAACATAAATAGCGCGTATGCAAACTGATTTATCTTCTTACATGTAAATTCAATTTGAGATTACCATGTCATGTTACTGACTATAAACAAGCCTAGAAACTTAGTAGTAGTTGAAAGCTCGTAATATTGATCTTACTGAGGTTTATGTTTAAGTTGTTATTATGCCACTCTACTACCTCTTTAAGACTGTCAACTATTTTGGATTTGTCTTCGTACAGTATAAGTACAATCTTCTGCGAATAGTACCATTGGATAAGGCGTGGATTTTGTCATGTCATTAATATAAATTAAAAATAGGAGTGGCCCCAAGATACTTCCTCGAGAGACACCATAAATAAGCGAATTTGATCAGGATGTATAATATATACAATAACTTTTTCGGTATTTATTTTATTGCAGATTCTATTCATTTTTGGTCATTGTATTCTATTACTAAGATAGGGCTTTAACACAGACAGAGAGTTACCTCGAACGTCGTAGGTTTTCAGTTTTTTAAAAGTATTCTATGGTAACAAAATCAAAAGCCTTCGTCATGTCTAAAAACATTGCGAAGAATTCCTGAATATACCCAAAATTACTCTATACTCAACGACTCGTAAATCGCTACAATTGATTTTCCTTTTCGGAATCCTTTAAGTTCGTTTGAAAACCTGTTTTGACTTTCAAAATAATCGTATAGGTTATCGTACATGACTTTTTCAGCAATCTTTGAGAGTACTGGGAACTACTTAGTACTGTAATTTTGTAAGTCTTTTCTATCATCTTTTATAATACATGGGCTTGATTATTGTAGTTTTTAATGCGAAAGGGTAAACACCTTGTTCAAAACTAAGATTTTTTTGCAATTTGCAATGTAACTTAAAATTGGGGATATAGTTGGGCAGGTAATGTTTTTTTTTTTTTTTTTTTTTTTTATTAAAAATGGACGTACTCTTGACCACTACCTAGCCCTAGAGCAAAGATGAGGTCTATGTTGGTACGAGCTCGCCCAGAAGATGCCTATATAATGTTGAGAACCCTAGTATGTCAGCTTTACAATGATATATCTATGAAAAACTCCGGTTTGGACATTTTTGACTCAAGATCCAGAATATTTAAAGGAGTAGCAACTCGCTTAACACTTAAGTGGTTATTCCCCAAACCCATTTCATTTTTGTATTTAGTAAATAAATGGGTACATTCATGAATTAAGGAAATTATTAGCAAATGTGAACAGTAGATCTTTCTTGTTATTTTATAATGATGTGTCAACGTAAGTAGAGTTACAATCTAGTACAGAACTTAACAAAACAGTAATTCGATTGTAATCTGTTTTGTTGTCCATATAATAAATAAATAAATGAAATACATATTTGAAACACAAATACATATTTTGCACACAGAGAGAGACTTATAAAAACGGATCAGTCTGGTGGGCAAGAACGTCTATACCTGACGTCAGTTACTTAATTGCCAGCTATTAATTATCTTGTACTTAGTAGATAGGTACTAAGTAGGTAAGTACACTATACTGATTGACGCCTAAATTTCAATAACTTACCTGTATGCTGATTCCAATTCGCGACGCCCACCCTCAGTTTCCATAGCTCTTAATGTATCATCTATACCTAGTTTTATCGCTGCTATACATTCCTCGCCACCTTCAGACAAGAATGCTCGGTGGACTACGTTCAAATAATCTGGAATTATATTTGTTAAATAATAATAAGCATTTATTTCGGACCAGGCGCTCCACTCTCGAAGCACGAAATCCGTAGTTACGGCCGTTTTCCGCTATGAATAATCTACAGACTAGGTTTCGATAGGGGCTACAATTAAGAATGTACGACAACGCGATTAGAAGTTGGTGCTGGCGCGCACCCGCTGCATCGAGGAGACTTGTCGCTTTCTTATTATGGATTGGAAACTATTCGTATGTGCTTCTGCGAACATTGTTGTTACGTTGCAGTAGCGCGGCAGCGCCAACAGTATTTTGGACATATAAGCTCAACTCACACTGGCGCAGAGTCGATGCGTCGCGACGCGTCATATTTTTCCGCCCATAGCATATTCATCTCTATTTTCCCATTATTAAGGTACAAATTTGTGTTATGCAAGTAAGGAATTGCGCGTTGACGCTTGATTAAAGTCGAGCGGGTTCGCGCGACATCACGTGTCGCCGTGCGTTACTTGCGCGTAGTGATGCGAGAGTCGTCGCGCGAAGACGCGTGTTGCTATGGGTTGTAGTTGGAAAACGGGACGCGACGCGACGCTTCGACTCTGCGCCAGTGTGAGCTGAGCCATAGGGTACTGTATGCTTTTTGGATAAATGTTATCCACAGATTGCAGGGTAAAAAGATTGGCAGTAAATTTTTAAACAGAAACTTCGCAAATTAACTTTTTTTTACATTACAGACGATGTTAAAACTTCACATGTTTTGTTATTTTATAACAAGGCAAGTGTTTCTTTATTCTTACTTTGACTAATGAAGGACAAAATCGAAGAAAATAACGTCACCTTCAAAATTAACCTGTCCTTTAATTGGTCCACTGGATGCAACAACGCCAACAGCTAAGTGTGGATACCGTTGCTTAAACCACAAAGCCATGTTGCCAGCATAGGAGCCTCCGTACAAGATCACTTTGCTATTGGCAAAACGTGTCGATGACCTCTTGTACGTGTTTATAAAGTATGCAAGATCGGCCAAGGCTTGGTCAACGTTGAGAAATTTCAAGTTTGAAGTTGAGAAGACTCTGTTAAATGTTTTAGAAAAGTTATTAACATATTGTAATACTGCAGTTTAATATTTTTATATCTGTAATAGTTAATTTAATAATTTTGTATAAATAATACTATTTTGTGAATAAGACAACCGGCATTATTGACATACAATTGACACCAATATTCACCAATTACTATTTCCTGTAAGTACTTACTCGTAAGGCAACGATTGTCCATAGTATCGATGCTCTGTGTAGATCATACAGCCATTGTTTTCACGAGCCATCTCAAACATGTTCCCCGTTAACAGCCAGGCTGGTGAAATATCCCATTCTCCACCGACCATTATGAAGATGGGAGAACCGTCTTCGCCGAAGTATAGTTCGTTAACCATGTAGCGCTGTAGAATAAGGAAGTATATGATATATTATGCATGGTGATACTCAAGTAATAAGATATTGCTTAGAAACAGATACGTGTATTAATTAAGCTGTCTTCATCATCATCATCTACAGCCCGACTTCACTCACTGTTGGGTATAGGCCTCCAGTGGTTTGTGCCATCCACCACGATCCTGTGCTAATCTTAACAATCAACTTTGACAATGTGGTCCACCATCCCGCACGCTGTAGCGAGATGGGTGGAAGCTGTCTTAACAGTTAATCATTATTATTTTTAACCGGCTCCAAAAAAACGGAGGAGGTACTCAATTCGACTGTATATTTTTTTAAATATGTTACGCGACAACGTTGGAAAGAGGGTAACCCAGTAATGGTCCCATTTAATTTTGAAGAAAATATTCCACCTCTAAGGGTGACAAACTAGGGGATGAATCCGGTTTCGTGCACTTTCCGGTAACCGATTTCAATAAAACTTAGCAAATAGATGTAATTCCACGAACTTTTGAGTTCGGTTTTTTAGTACTCCGTACTATAGTTTAATAGTAGTAGTTTAATATAATCTCAGTAGATTACATTAAACTGCCTCTGTGGCCGAGCGGTTATCTTGCTGGTTTTCCACGTAGACGCGGGTTGGACACACATGGCAGCGATGCATCTAAACCAAGTTGACGATGGTACTTGATTGAAGCGACTGGGTGCGTCGCCTTCAGCAAGGCGAAGTAGTCTGCCGAAGGTGGCAGATGACTATGTGTAAGTGGCGGGCCGACAGTGTCGCCTTTGAAAGACGACTCGGTGTAAAAGCACCATTACTTTGGATATCTATTTTGGAGTCACGCCTCTTCCATGGCCTAGAATATTGATTTTGATTTTTTAAATAGGAAAGGCGGTATTCCCTGGTATTGTTATTATTATTATTAATATAAAGATCGAACAAACACAAAGAAAAATTCCTTAACGTGGGTTCCGCTCTTACCAAGTGAGATACGGATAAAGCCAGCAGAACTTAGGAATTTACCTATGTGCTTGTTGCAGATCTTTGTAATGGATTTAAACGACTTTTTGCCGTAATAATAACATAATATATAAAATAAAAAAATAATTACAATAATTATAAGCTAGTGTAGTATTTTCACAAAAAATAGACGAATGAATATTATGGTCGTCAAAACTTCAACTTCATCATGATATTCCATAAAAATAAATAAATATATGTTGCAAGTCTTATTATTAGTTGTAGTTAACATGTCCAACAAAACGATCCAGAATGTTTCTCTAGTCAAATTGCAATGTAAATTCGAAAAACTCAAACACAAAGTTCCTCGAATTGGTCTTTAGTTGTTGTCTACAACCGCCATTAAACGAAGTGATGATACAACCCTAGACGATGCACACGGCACAAGTGTAAAATATATATAAGTCCATACCATATTAAAAGTAGCATTGTTTTGTGGGTCAAAGTGGTCAATGGGCATTTGCATCCAGTTCTCTGATACGAATCTCTGATCCAAGAATCGGGCTTCCTGCGGCGGTTGCAGATCAACTCGTAGGGGTGGCTCCACCACTCGGATCTCCGCCCCCCATATTGGGCACACGAGACACGCGAGGACTATGAGAGGTATCTAAAAATTTTCAAATTGTTATACATCGTAATTCGTTTCGTAACCGTCTTCCCGTGCTTTCATTCTAGTCGTGATTTCGTAATGTTTTGTAATGTCGAATGGGAAAAAATAAATTGCTACCAGTTGTATTACCTACGTACCTATATCACCATTTATTTTAAACATTTTTGATTAAAAATATCACTTTCCGACATATTATATTGTAAATTTAATAAAATATAAATGAAAAAGAACTTACCATTGTTAAAATAACACGCCTTTCATAGCTTAAAACAGAATTAATTTGTATATCTATCTGTGAGTTTTAATGAGATATCGAAAAATTATGTGGAATTACACTTATCTTTTTGATAGTGAGAAATAATATTATCTTTTATCACTGTTTTGAAAATCTATGTAGAGCGTCGTGAATTCTTACATTTTCGATAACATTAGGTGCGTCCGTGAAGTGGTTTATCACCTAATGAATGTTCTGTTACAAGTACCGTAAAACTAGGGATGGTAAATTTCCGAGAATATTTCCGAAAATGGAAATATTCTCGGAAACATTGCGAGAATGTTTCGCAAATGCGAAATTTACATAAAAAGTTGAATACTTTGGTGCAAAAACGTTTTTTTTCATATGAAGAAATATTTTGAAGTTAAGTTGATTGACACATTTTAATTCTTATTAATACCACAGAAATCCATTTTCGTGAAAATACTGCAAAATTTCTTAAATTTCCTTATATTTCATAGAAACTTTCCACGAAATATTTCAGAAACTTTTTGGAAATTTTTCAGAACATCTTCAATATTTTATATTTTTATAGATAATTTTAATGTGGGGATCAAAATAATGCATAACAAAGGTGATTTAAAACTTTGTATTAAATAATTGAAATTGAAAAATTGAATAATAAAAAAAAAATGCTATACAATAGGTATGTAAGAAGCTTGTCGCACTTTGTAGACCAATAAAGTTTTAAAATATAATCAACAATAACAATTTACAAAATAGTCAACATATATTATAGTAAAATTATTCAGTGATCAAACATCAACAATTATAATTAAAATAGGTACCTCAAGAACAAATAACAAAATCACAGATTGGTTCTTAATTATGAAAAATACTGGGATTAAAAAACTTAAGAATCAAAATATAAAACTTAATACTAATCTGTATGCAACTCATCACTGCTCCATGATGTCGTATCTGAACAGGAAGCTACTGATAATGTGTCCTCATTTCTATCATAAGGTTCTGTTAGCAAATCAATGTCAGCGTTCAGGTGGTCAATTGAGCATCGATCTGAAATCTTCGCTGTTTTATGTGGAGCGTTTAAAAGTCGCCAATTGTGTGAAACGTAACTTAATTTTCCAGCCCTGTCTGTTGTTAATTTGTTGCGTTTAGTGGTGTGTATGTTCCCAAATGTTGAAAACGATTGTTCCACTGCTGCAGAAGTTGATGGTACGGTCAAAATTTTGTTGGTCATCTGGCCCAATTTTGTTTGCCCAAAGAAATTATTCCACCATTATTTTTAATATTATTTCTAAATCTCTCAAATAATATATTATCAGAACAAATAACGTTCTAAAATTTTTTAATTAAATAGGTTCATGAAAACGATTCCTGTGCCAAATTTAATACCCTAATTTCAACATATTAACTATTAATACATATACGGTATAAAAGTGGCAAAATCTAAGTGGATTCCGAATATTTATTTCATTCATTCTTTTGATGAGTATGAAATTTCCAGGAAACTTTCCATGCAATTTATGGACATTTAAGAGAAGTTACGGAAATTTACTTATTTATTCCGATTTCTTCAAAAAAAGTATTTTGGTTTTACAACCATGATATAGAACTATAACTTTTCTTAAATGTTTCTTGAATATGCGATAGTAAAAATGCAAAGTAAATATGTAAATTTCCATAAATTTCGCGTTTTGAGAATGTTTCCGAAATATTTCAAGAAACATTCAGACTGGAAAGTTTCCAATTTAGGAAAGTTTCCGGCTGCCCATCACTACGTAAAACACAAGTAAGTAGTGGAGAAAATGGCCTACCTTGTACTAAATAGGTTATTGTTTTTCCTTTCTGAATGGGCTTCACGGTATCAATAATTCCGAGACCCGCGCGAAACTCACATTTTCCCTACCGCCCTTTCTTCATCTATCTTTATATGACCAAGGTGATTCGAGGGTCATAACTTTTGTCAAGAGTGTACAACAAAACAATAAGTAATATTATCACAGGGACAGGAACGTAGCTACTGTTCTTTATTACGAAAGGTAGCTTTCACGAAACGAATTGCAGTAATACAAGTAGCATAGAAGAAGCAGTAGCCTCTTTGTGAAAGAGTTCGTTCAGGGAAGTATTGCCACCTTACGTATTTCTGCCGCCAAGCGGTAATTATGATAAATCTTTACTACGGACAACAGGGAGCAATGAAGTGTTAGTAACAAAAATAGCTTATATTTAGATTAGTACTTCCAAATTCTATTACGGATTTTATGGTTGTTATTAAATGCCGCATCATGGGGCTCTCACTCTTATCCGCGATAGTCTTCACGTAGGCCGTTGCTGCTGCCACGTATTCTGTTTAATAAAGACGCCGACTTCGTCCGTAAGAGTGCCATGACGCTGTCGACGCGAGGCAGACGCACTGCAGAACCGTGGCAGCCGTAGTAGCGTCCTAAAGGCGTTATTATATTGCGTTACTATAAGATATCTAATACAATTTAATTCGATTGATTATTTTAAGAGCTCAAATTCACTCAAGATATCTCGAAGTAGGTTTCTAGATAATTTAAAGTAACAGTGGGCACAACTTTATTACTGGATCACAAGAGTGCTTTGAGAAACTATCTGTAGGTAGTGTTAAGAGTGATTCTTATCTTTTTTCTCAAGTAACCCTTCTAGAATGCTACAACTACAAGACCGTATGTAGAATGTAGACAGTTTTTATTTAGTCTTGTAGACAGTTTTTAGTTAATTTATAGTCTATGATAGTTTTCTTAGTTATGTTTTAAAACCAAAATACTAAAGCGTTACAAACATAAGACGCAATTCTCTTAATACTAATAGATTTCAAGTTTAATTGCTTACAAAATATAAACTTCAAAATTGCAACACGGCGAAATTAGATATAATATTTCTGACTTTTTCGTGTAATGTTTAACCGTTTAAGAAGGGAATTGACCTGCGACTTTAAATAATTTAAATGTAAATCTTTAAATGTAGTGATTCCAAGACAGGATCGACTAAGACTTCGTAACGATGGAGCACTAAAGGTATGGTCCCATACAAAAAATACACATTTTATTTTTTTCCTACTAAACTATTATATTTATGGCAAAATGTGCCCTTATTCGCCTTAGGACAGATTCGCTTTACGACAGATTAGCTTTATGACAGATTCGCTTTATGACAGATTCGCTTTAAGGCAAAAGTACAGACAACTCGACAATAATTAATTAAACCATTTATTTTTAACAAAAAATAACATTAATGATACGGCAATATTTAATTAGGACAATAGGATCTCTCGATTGGCATTTTTTTGAGAGGTATCGTGAAAAAAAAATCCAACGTCCGCAATATCGCTAATCCGACCCACTGTGTGTCGCAAAGTTGAGATAAATATAGTGTACCTATCTGTCCTCCATTACGTCAATTTTTTATGTTCCCTAATCCCGAAAAGGTCCTGGGACCTAAAAAATATTGTCGTAAGGCAGTCTCCATTTTCTGTCTATGTTCCTCAAAGTTTAGGTAAAATAACTCTACCTATTCCTATCCCTGTGATTAATGTTGAATCTAATTAAAATAAATAAACGATTTAAGGTCATCTAATTTTATAATTACTTTTACATTTTACATTCTGTTTACTTTCACAGCAAACGTAATAGATTATTACATTTTGAGTTTCTTAATTCTTCATTATTGTCGCGAAACCTTCTTGGTTTAACATTTTATTTTTTATTTTCTTTATTGATGTATGCCACCTTTGTCCATATCACAATTGTTTTAGTTTTTTTGCTAGAAGATATGTCTCGCTTTTAAATACCTTTATAATATACGGAAATTATCTCCCAATTCAGTAAGTAAGGGAGCAAAGGCTGCGGATCGCCGTATCGTCTATCCATATCAGAGCCTGGGGGTCTACTCTCGATCTCCGTCCGACATCCGTCCGAAACAATTACTGCCAAATAATCAATACTTGACCAAATGAACAGACGTGATTTTGAACAATCAGCGTTGCCAATCAACGCTGATTGTATCGAATGATGTGACATAATATCTAAGGTTCACCACCTCCACCAGATCTTTTAATATTCTTTACTTTATCCATTTTGCATGAACTCTTACAACGTCCAATAGAGTACAAACCCTAATTGTAGTATTTTTTAAATAAAATCTGAAGACGCGCTATAACATGTTTGTCATAAGTACAAACACTACAGAATGTTTATAAATTAAATATATCTAGAATAAACTTAAGAACACTAGTTTTTAGAGTATTAATAGACTTTAATGGATGTGTATAGTACAATTTTACTAAAAATAATCAATTGTTCTACAGATGAACAAAATAAGGACTATAAGAGTAAATCTTAAGAGAGATAACACACTTAATTAAGTTTGGTATTAAGAATGTTTTAAAATTTTGACTTGAGTGAAATAAGTCTATGAGAACAATTCTTTTTTCTAAAACCATTTATAGATAACTATTATATAAATGTATACAATATTAAGACTGTAGGTATTGATAACGTTAATTTAAATTAAGTTGTTATAAGTTGTTTTAGTAACCCTTCTATTATAAATGCTATGTACACCGTAATTGTCATATATATCAGATGTAATTCCGTATGTTGAATGTTGAAATGTTGTAATATATATGATGTGGTAGTACTTAATAAATAAAATAAAATAAAATAAGACTGTTTATAGATATAACAGTTTTAAGGCGTATAAAGTGTGCTCCTTGGGGAAGATCGATGGTTTGGATTACTCTGATAATGGCAAATTTCTTTGGGTAGTTTGAGTAGTGTTTGACGTGGATGTCAAAGACTGTTTTACTCTTAGACATAAGGAAACCAAAGGACATGTTATATTGACATATATAAATCTTAGACTATGGAAACTAAAGGACATGTTACGTTGACATATATAAATCAGACGTTATATGTATATGATGCATTTCGTCGTCGAAAACATAAACATATTATTGTCTTTGTTTAACTATTACGTGCCGTCTTAAGCCAAAAGAG